TATTTAATACAATACTATTTTGTCTGAACATTTCATAGATGACGAAAAATACCAGCTTAGTACAAGAAAGCCTTGGGATTTACCAGTGTCTTCGTAATCTCTATCCAGATATTGTATTCGCATAATGACTGTTCACGCTCCGTTTCCCAGTGGTTTTTAGGTTTTGAGTATTTTTTACGTGGCCGTCTGACGTGTGCGGGATTATCTCTAGGAAGTCTCCTGCGTCGCAATTGGCGAGACGTCGTCGTTGCGTGAGCGAGCACTGATTCACAGTACGGGGATCGTAAGAAACACTGATATTAAACTGGTGTTTTTCCACAAATTCGCGATGCAAGCCAAGAACCCTCAATGACGTAAACAATCTGCGACGCAAACCACACAAAAATCTCGACCAAGACGACGGTACTAAGTGAAAATATCTCGTAATGGTATTGTTATGACACTTCAGGGTCGGGGCTGCGTGAGCGTCAAGAAAGGCGAAGAAAATGAGATAAAACCTGTTTAGATGTCCGCGAGTTAATCCTCAGTTATCTTCCACGAGAAGCACTAGCGACTTCAAGGTCTGACTTGTTTTCATCTGTGCATCATGCAGAACGTTGCAGGACATTAAAACGCGACGATCTAATTGCGACAGACAACTGGAGAATGCAATAACATTTACGATCGGAGCTTTTGAAATGTAGCACTTAATTGTTTGCTGTGAAAAGGAATGCTATATTGTCATACAAATGCCTATGCTATTATCACGGAGATTCTCAAGGAAATTTTATATTAAATGTAAAATAATACACATTTTGATATTATAATTTTTATAACTCCAACACAATAAATTAATTTTTGGCGCATTGAAATAATATCGAAAATGTATTGTACTGCATAATTCGTTTCCCGGCAACGCTTTAGTTTTGCATATTGTTTAATATCATGGCTGGCGTATTATTCCTTGACATACGTTGAGTTTGTACTTATGGAGACTATCGAAACAACTCACAGCGGAAAAATGACGATAGGTTTGGCATCTGAGACAAAGAACTATCAAAGTAATATTATTGAATTATGGTACCCACATTTGATATGGTTTACAAATACGCTGTAAATGCTCTAGTACAACAGTCGGATTAAATCATATTCAAATATTTGAATTCCACGCACTTTTTGTTTTCTCCATTTTAAGCATAGTTCGTGAATGGACGTGGACTTTCCGTTTTCTTGTAGTGCATAAATCGCTATGAGATAAAGTAGATTAATGAATAAAATAAAATTATAAAAAAGATTTGCGTCTGTCAGTAGAATGAGCACTTCGCGTGTGACGTCACGTAATAAGCAGCTCCAAATTCTAAAATTAAATTCTTTCATTTATTATATTTCTTGTAATTGATTAACTAAAGAGAACTACAAATAATGGAAATTTCCCACGGATGAAAACTCATATCCTTCTCAAACGTCTGAATACCTCTCCACTATAATGTTTGTTACATTTTATTAGAAATCCATGGGAAGTGGTTTCGTAGACTGACTCATCGTGGTCACTAAAAAACAAGAGTAAATTATAAACAACAATAATTAAAAAACGACTTCCGCAAACGAAAAACCTACCCGAGCGCCTCCACGAAACAGAATGAAACACAGAAGGGTCTGGGCGTTCTCCGAAGAAATGGGACGGGTCACCAGAGCAGGGTCGTCGAACTCCGGGAAAGGGCGGCGTCCGCCAGGAGACGACTGCGTTGCTCAACAGCCGCCCGCCATCGCCCTGCCGCCGCAGTGCTTCACGACGAGCCACAGGCGGACACAATTGCCGTAACCTTTTCACCATGTTATTTCACGACGATTTTCAGGTGCATTCATAGTTTTTTGAGGGCGAATATGTCAAAGCTTCGATAAGTAAAACCAATTCAGTGAGATAAAATTTAAAATAAATTAAATAAAATAAATGAAAATTTAAAAAAAGGATGTGTAAGATCAATATTTACATAGACATTCACACAAATATATTATATTATGACACATAATTAATATTTTATAATATAAAATAAAATCATGTTTCTTTTTAAAGTTTAATTATTTTACTCATTCCCATAAAATATTTTAAGGATTCATTTTCAATATTAAAGTATTGATACATCTTTATTGTCTTAATACATCTTTATTTAACAACCCATAAAATATTGGATACAAATTCGTTCAAATTCAGGACAGTCAACAATATATAGAACCACGGAAGTAAAATCGCTTTTTCGTGTCGTATTCAGCGGCACCCAACATCTTCGACTGCTCTACGCAACCTCATTCAAGCGACACTCTGTGAGTGTGAATGAGATGTTTCCACTTGTTGTTCGTTCGGGGCCACTGTGCGCGGCGTCGGCGGCTGCCGCGTCCATCAGCCAAGAAGCGCGTCGTCCGCTGCACTCCCTTTCGCGCGGGCGGACAGTGACCCCGACGCTCCGGCCTCCGAGGACCGGTCCCGCGTCCTATCGATTATCGCAGGCGATCATTGCGAGAGGCTGTGTAACTCGCGCGGCGAACAGCGAGTTCCGGGTTGTTGCATCGGAGGGTTCAGAATCCATTTTTCATATTCAATTGAATTGAATTAATGCCTTGTTTTACGTGGCGAGACTCGGGCCATCAGGCCCGCTCTTCCGCCTGACCAAATTTCGCCACCAACTACCAGAGGAACGCTATTTCTTGGACGAGAAACAGGCGATTTTGAATTTAGCTCAGAGGCGTCGTTTAGGCTTGAAGATATTTTACATGCAAGTAAATCTACTAACATGGGACTACCGGCTTTACTTCCCCTCCAAGGGAAGGCGTACGAAGGATTTTTTTTCGCCTTTAAAAGTCCACGGCTTGAGCCCGCCAACGTGGGTATACCTGTCCAATACGCTAACCGTTACACCATCGCCGCCGCCGCCGCCACCATTTTTCATATTTATCTGTCGCTTCTTTGGGCCTTCTTTCGCAGCCGTACACTTTCGACTGTTTCATTTGTATGTTTCTTTCGTAATTCTTTCTTGAATGCCAACATATTCCTAGCACAACATCTCATCACAGTTCCGTAACCTAGTATCTGTAATGTGCACTCTGATGAGCCAGTATAGCGTATTGCATATTTATATTTAACAATTTAGTTGCCTCACATTTTTAATTTCGCGAAACCATTATGACGTTTCATACCAACCATCTTCTTCACAAATATTTTTATAACTGCTCGCGATTCATACATAAAGAATTTGGCATAATAAATACATAAAGAAGAATGAAGTGTTCGTTGACACGGCACTACGTTATTCTACGGCTGTTTATTGTATGATTGATTGCTGCAAGTGACGTGCTTCACACTCAGTTATGGAAAAAGTAAAATTCTGCGAGTTAATTCACGCGCAAGTAACTCTTTCAAATAAGCGGTTGATACTTCATCCCGGATGTGAATATCACTGAAACTGATATGTGTACAGTGACATCAATATTTGCTCAGGAATATTCACAAACGACAATTCTAGGAACATTAGCAAATTCGCAACTATTGGTGGACGAAACACACACTGTGTAATGTCCAATTCAGTTGTAATAAAAACAATGTCAGACATGACTGGCACTCGCAACATTTACTCTAAAGAAGCGAACCTATCATAAATGAGTGTGAAATATTTCGTTGCGAGACTGGGATGTTCAGTACGTAAAACACAAAAGTACTAACTCTGCGAATGTTAAAGTCATTACTTTAATAATGTCTTTTGGCAGGACAGATATAATATTACCTCGAAAGGTACTGGGGTGATATGGGTTTGACATTTTTTATCACGAGGGTCAACACTAGATCATTGCTTCTTAAGAAGGCGAAGCCTAAGAGGGGTAAATTTGAGTGTCAAAGAAATAAAAATATGAATGCATCTACCTCGCGGATCGTGTACCGCAAACAATTGCCATTATTACGTATACCGTATTTGGGTATTCACAATTAGACTAACTCGAGGCATCTATACCGTATAAATCGTTTGTCACCATCGATATTTTTTTTTTATTGATACTAAAGCGTATGACTAGCGCTAAATTAGCGGCACTGATGCAAAAAAGCTTATATTTTTTGTGCGTTAAGAAGACAATACGTCTGAATCATGTTCTTCGGAAGCATAATCTCATAAGCGTGGAGAAGCGGGCTTATATATAGAGCGCTCCCGTTTGAAATAGGTCGCAACCCACATTATCTCGGAGTAATCGAACATCCTTACCCGGATACTAAGATAATTTAGTAGAGTATCCGAACCCGGATACTAAGATAATTTAAAATAATTGAATGTATTTCTCCAGGAATGTGAAAAATTCTCTAAAAAATATTCCGAATAATTCCGAGTAATTGATACTTATGGCAGTTGTTTGTTTTTGACATCTGAACTCTTGAAAAGAATTTGTTTCACACATTTATGTCATCCTATACCTTAACTGCATTAATTGATAGAAATATTATAAAATTATATACTGTTTTGATGGTTCTCTTTACTAATTATGAAAGTGTTAAAATAATGTTACAAAACAAAAACTTGACAAAACGATAATCCTAACAGTGATGGACTATTGAAAGCATGCTATTTTTTGATATTATAAACATTTTGTGTGCTTACTCTTTTATTTTCTTGCATTCTTTAAAACGTACGTGTCATTCCAAAGTTTTGCAAGCGATCGTATGAACATCAGGCTAGAAATGATCAATACTTCAGTTGGAAATGAAATACCACTTTTTAATTACAACAAAATGAATACCCATAGAAGACACAACAATTCAATGAGAGTCGATTACTGGAAAAATATTGACGCAACAAAACACTAATTACAACAAACAAATCATTCATCATTCGAACACAAAATAAAACCCCAGTGATTCACATAAAATAAATATATTAATGCAATGCAATATCTAAAAATGATATTAGAATGGTATGCTAAAAATAAGTAGTGAATCACTAATATTTCATCGAAAAATAGTAAAACACCAGATAAAGTAAGATATGAATAATGTTTTCGTTGACTGGTTAGTTACGTTAGCAACTTACTTTCTTCAACGCCTTTGAACTTTTGTTGTTGCGTGTGCACACCGCCCTCCGTTTCGCAATCTTTCTCTTCACGGGCGAATGCACCAAGAGGCAAACTCGCTGCGTCCATCGAAAGAATATCAGTATCTCCGAAGAAACATGCCAGGCCTTTGTCCATCAAAAGAGACACGGCTAGAAAAAGTCATTTATTAGTAAAATGAAGTTTATTTTGAAAATAATCCATTTGTATTACTAAAAATTCCACAGCGATAGTTAATAACCAGCCAGTTGTTAAGTAAAATTCTTTGAATTTGACCAGAAAATGAGCGGCTTCACTTTTTTTCATTGTTTGATTGTTTGAAGTTTCCGAGCACGTCAATTATTTTGGCTAATAATCCCGTTAGTACACTCGACGTTATAATACGGAAGTGGCGGTGTTTCTCTCCACTGGTTGGTGAGATCCGGTGCCGACCTATGCGTCGGCTTGCGAGGGATTTCCGATCCAGGTATCCCTTCAGCCGGGCACCGCCCCAGCCGGGACAAGCTCTAGGGTCACGACAGGTCTCCCGTCATTTCTGGTAGTGTAGTGCAAATGTAAGCGTATGTGTGTGTGTTTGTGAATGTGTATAAGAAGTAAGGGTAATTCAAATAAAGAAATAAAAACGGATAATTAAAAAAAAATTCAAATGAAATTTCAAAATGTAAACAGAATATGTTCAGCATTCTCACAGTTTTAGAAATTGGTAATGTTTATTGATCCTTCAAATTGATTTAGACATTAGGCATTAAATTAGAGATTAGACATTAGACATCAAATTAGAGATCAGACATTAGACATCAAATTAGAGATTAGACATCAAATTGTTCAAATCCAAGCTCTTAAGAGTGCCTTCTTTGCCTGTTGCAGACCCGCGAACGCGGGGGTGGTTCATGGTGGACAGCTTGGGGCTGCTGGCGACCGTCCTCTTCGTGTACGTGTACTTCTGCAGCGTGGCGGGTCCACGTTGGATGAAGGACAGGAAGCCCTTCGACCTGAAACGGCCGATGCTCGTGTACAACGCCCTGCAGGTCTTCATGAGCGCAGTGCTCGTGTACGAGGTAAGACCAGCTTCCTGATCCTGGAGTGACTCAGCTCATGTAATAATAATAATAATAATAATAATAATAATAATAATAATAATAATAATAATAATAATAATTATAATAATGCCTTTATTAATGGTGAGGCTCAGACCTCAGGCCATAGTAACATTTTAAGAGGGGAGAACAAGTTGTTTTTGTTGTTGTGGTTTTCACGGAGTAAATTCATGGTGACCGTTGTACTTCTGAAGGCTGAAGCTTTCTACCGACTGCCCCTTGGTGGTTGTGAAAAGATGGGGAAGGAAATATTGTGTGCGGTACTTGGTTTATTTCTAAAGGCACTGCTTCAGCATCTCTCTCGAACTGAACAGAGAAATGAATTAAAACCTTTGTTTAGCCAACTACTACAATTTTTTTTTTAGTTTATTATAGTCGCATCAAAAATGTGGTCAATAGCGACTACTTAACAATTTTAATATGATACCTTTACTTTATTATATATATATATATATATATATATATATATATATATATATATATATATATATAAGACATCATTGGTAATTTGTTTGTTACAATAGTAGTTTCCAGTATCCATACTTTTACAATTAGATATCTATGAGAATATTGCCGTTTGATTTTGGTATACGTTGGATGTCAAGATCAAGTCAGGGTTTTGCTCTCCTTCGAGGTATGTGTATCTGATGTACTGAAACATAAGACACACTTCTACAATTGATATCCGTCGCAATGACAACCTAAGTTCCTTAACTGAGATGTAAAACATCAATCGACGGAGTTCGAACCTAGAACTTCCATGGAGCACTACGAAGCTGCAGTGGCGGGCACACTATTATATCGGCTAACGAACCTGGTAGGAAATTCCACGATTCACGGCAGAGGTATCTTTAGTGGTAAATAACAACAACAACAACAACAACAACAACAACAGAAAACTAAGTGGTGTTGCTTAGGGACATTCCGTAATAGACGCGGGGTAATTAATTTCTGAGAGTTCCGCTGCCACGTGCCTTCAAGAACTCCAACGTGTTTAGGACGAACGCCTTACCACATGATTGCTATCACGATTAAGATGGTCTGGACGGTCAGGAAAAAAAATCTCACTTTGTGCAGATCGAATCTGAAATGGTAGATCTTGAATTCCAATGAAGCTATTTAGGATTGCCTGACATGGGCAGTAATTTATTTTCCCTTGTTCTTGTTGCAGCTTGGTTTAAGAGTTTTAAAAATTTAATCCGCTTTAAGAATAAACTTCTTAAGTTCCAAGAAAGGATTCAAGAACTTTCGGTGCTAATTTTGTTGGGAAGCAAGAAATATGATTGAATTTTGAAATACCACACTCCTCTGTCAAAACATGGAAATAACATGTCATTTTTTTCTTTCACTAATAACATTGGGTATAAATCATCATACCATTCCTACTGTACACTGAATTGAGTTTTCATCAGTGACCGAAAAACATTGGCACAACATATTGCGGAAGACGTAACATTGTCTTCCATAAAATTAGTAAAACTAAGATTATTTCGAAAAATCCTTCTAATATGAGTACAAGATTATAAAACCATAATGCTATATCAATTTAAAATATTTTAAAATATTTAGAAAATGTTTAAAATGTCTCAGCAATGCTTCATTACATTTGAAACCATAACATTTTTACTTATTTGCATAATTTATTACTACACGTTCGTAAACATTAACGATTTGATAGCGGTTTGTGCACTGTCAAGGTGCACTGTGAATCACATATGCACATCGTCGCAACTTCTTCATTCCTTCATGGCTGACCACTACAACTCTTGCGTCAACGCAAACAAGAGAACGCCGGCATTGAGTCACCGCGAAGGCTGATTCTTCCGGCGGGCTTTTGAGTGATTAGAGCGCGCTTCGAAGGCGTCGTTCGCTGCGATCGACCGCCGTTAGCGCGGCGTTGTCTCAGGAGTTGAGTGACCGACCCGATGCTCTGGGCCCCGCCGGCGCCACCCGCGCCGAGCGCAAATATTTGCGAATCCGCTTCGGCGCGGCGCGGCGCGACGGCCGGGCGGAGAGCACGGCTAAGCGTGTAAGCGCCCTCGAGTATCGCGGAGGCTTCCGTTGGAATACCGACCTCGTGGGCCTACAGTGACCCTCTGTGTGTCGACGTAACGGCACAATCGCCACAGCTGGCGTCCAGGCCTTTCAAAGGAGGCGGATCCGACCTCTTTGACGGCGGCCGACTACGAGAATTTCAACTAATGCGGTTAAATAAGCAGGCTGGCTGCCATGTGGAAGGACACCGCGAGAAAAAAAAGACTGCTATCTTAAAGCAGTACCATGGCTACACGCAGGAAGTTCGATGTTTGTGAATTAATGAATGTGGACAGTCTTAAGGGGTCATTAGGTATATGCGCGAAACGGGAGGAATATAAGTTGGAACCTATCAATTGGGACGGCATTATAATGCAGCAAACATGGTTCTAATTCAGGATGGCTTTATCACAATTTGTAAGGAATTAAATATTACGATCCAGCGTATGCTTGTATCAATTTTTTAATTGTAAAAAATATAATGTTTAGTAATATTCGATATTCACATTTCCACACAATGGTATTTATTTAACCAAAATATTTTCAGTCACTTATTATAAAGGTTTCGTAATTTTCTTTAATATATTAAATCACATCAATGATAAAAATAATTATTGAAAGACATTCAGTAACGTACGTTCTTATGAGAAGAAACTCCACTAATGAGCAGAAATAAAATGAAAAACAAGTAAGAAAATTAATCAAATACAGTATTTTACATCAGAGCAGCTTTCTTTGGTTTATACATGCGTTTAAGGTGGAATTCTGTGCTGGCATACAAAGTAGCATTCTAGACAAGATTTCTACCGCGTATTTCGCCACAAATACGTTGCAATGACCACACCGAATAAGGAAATTCAAGTACAACCAGACAAACAACTCGAATATATTACTCATGTCGTTGTATTGAAAAGAAAAAGAAAAACTTTATCAAATCTTTCGTTATTTTTTAAAGGATTAGTATTGACCTACTTGAATAATAGAGGAAATCAGCATTGATTCAAGAAACACGCGTAATTAATAATAGTACGCAAAGGAAAAATACCAGTTCAGGGGTTATTGAGTCCTCATAAAGCATAAAATATCAATATACATGTTTGTAAATGAACGAAATGTTTATAGTGAATTGAAATCACGAGTTAAGTCCAGGGCTGCGAAATGAACTGTGCAAAGAAATGTAGTTTACTTTATTTATTTGTTTTTATTTATTTATAATAAAAATACGAGAAACTAAGTGATGTAAAGGGATAAGTAGTCAAGCATTTATGATAAAATCTTACGATTGACGATTCGGCGAAATATTACGACTCTGCTGATAATATTGTAAGTAATTATTTCTTTCAGAATTGCCAGTTAATATGAGCTTTAATAATTCGTCAAGATCAAAGAAAACAAAACAAATTAAATTGAGCTCAGAAAAGTAAACAAACACACAAACAAGCTAGATACAGTGGGAATAGGGAAGAGATTCTAGATTTCCATGCAATCCGTGCCGTCTCGGAAGCACGAACCGCCGCGCCTTGGAAGATTCTGCATCAAAATTAATTGCTGTGGCTCCGCACGCCAAGAACAGAGCTCGTCCATCTGGATGGGCGCGTGCACGGAATTCCGCACACGTCCTTAGATAACGAAACAGTTGTTCTGGACTGTTTGTGTATCTGGCGAGTACCAGCAACCAGATTTACATGTACTATCTACTTGTTACAATCTACTGGCGCTATCAGATTGCGCAACTGCACGTATTTCTTTTCACGACGTTTGAATTCTCTATAACAAGGTAACGCAACCTCGCGGAAATTTTTAAGGTTCCACAAAGCTGTGCTTTATTAATGGCAGCTTTATATTCTCCAGTATTTTGGTTGATAGGGTTTTACTATTTTCATGGTATCTATTTTTCTTCCGTATACATTTATATTCTGTTGTGAATTCTCCACGTTGTACCAAGAACATAACTAGTAATGAAAATATAGTTTTCATTCATGTTTCCTCTACAAATGTAATTACCCTTCGTTACAATAGACTAGTGTACAAATATAAGTTTAAAATAATCAAAGTAAAAGGCTTGAACCGTTAGAAAACCTCATTAAAAAGAGAAATGTTTTGAGCTTTAACAATCCGTAATATTAACGCACCTTCCAAGAGGAGCCATTTTCATAATTTTCATTCAAGCCAAAATTGCGCAGCCGCTTTACATAACAGATATAAAGAGTAGATATCATACCTCATAAAAGTATCTCTCCTTGACAAATCGCTTTTTCACGAACAGATATGCTGACCTTTCCGTTACGAAAATCTTTTAGAGAGGAATTTATCTGTCTAATATTCGTTTCACTTACTAAATGTTTTATGAGTAGAATAACTCAATGGTTTGATACCCCTTTCACACAATTCTCTGGCAATATTCTTTAATGAAACTAACGAAATATTCCCAAAGTAATATTACGTTAACAAATAATTACTTGTACGAGTAATACAACACAAAACGTGAGAAAACTTTCTGAGATTGAGATGGCAAGCTTCTCTCAAAAAGTTTAATAATTCTCTCAGCAGATCACATTATAAACAAAAGCCGTGATACTACGGCAGGGGGAGGCGACAAGTGGGGAAAGACACAACAATGAAATGGACAGCAAATGAAGGAATAATTGTAAACAAGCATTCCCTTGGAAAAGCCGAACCTATTACTTGAATGGCGTAGTATTCATTTCCTTAAGATTTACATCATTAATGTTACTCAGAGAAGAATAAATATTGTAAAAGGAAGAGTTCCAAGTTCCATCCATTTTAGTTTTGAAACAGTCAAATAGTCCAAAAAATATCAAATAGAGAAAAAACGAAAACGAAAATTACGAAAAATGTTACAGTAAGAACTGTAGCACACTTTATTAAAAGCATATTTGCTATCAAAAACGTTTTTAATGTAAATAAAAAAGCCGGCGACTTCAACGCTAGAAAACCGAGAGCCTTTGAACTGCCCAGCGCCATCTGCAAGTGGTAGGCAGCACTTACTACTTCACCGACTTTCCGCTAGAGCGCGCGCACTCACCATTGCGCCGCAGCGCCGCCGCGGCAAACGCACGAACTGGCGGGCCATGCGCTTGAGGCGGAGAGGGACCCCACGTGGAGACCACCGCTCGCTCGCTCGCCCGCCCTCATCGCTTTCTCTGCATCGCGCATTCCGACGCCGCGCGGCCATTTCGTCCCGACTTGCAAATATCGCGCGGTTTATTGCCGCGCCAGGATTGCGTCACGATGCCGGGCGGGCGCGCGCCGCTGCCAGATCGAGGGGCGAGATTCGAGGGGCGGATCCCCCCCAACGTAAAAAAAATAAAAATAAAATAAAACATCTGGGACGTTCTTTCCGTAATCAATGATGGTTTCAGGAAATTCTGGAAGGGAGGGACATTCAAAAAAAATAAAGGAACTATATTTTAATAGAATTTTATTTTTGGTAATAACGATTTAATGTATACATTATTTTCAATTTACATATAATTACATCTAATATACAAGAAGGAAGATTAATAAAACATTCGACAATACTTTTTAATTTTTTTTCTACTTGTACTAACTATTGTATCTACTGTACAGTATCCAGTAATTATATTGTATAAAAATCGATTCACGACCAAAATTTTAAGCATATTTATAACACGTTGAAAAAATTAATTATCTACATTTTCAACCTTAAGGCTAAGGGTTTGTATTTCTCGCTGTTTTCTAAGTGATTTTCATCCCGTTCTCATATCTTTCGAACCAACTGGCGGATTTTTTTAATAATTGGACTATCTGAACGAGCAATTTGCAGCATGTGAGAAATCTATGTTGCTTAAAGTTGACTTAAATAAGACGGAGGGCTCAAACAAGGTAAACAATTCCAAAGCCCTACGGCACTTAATTTATACCAAGGGGTAGAAAAAGTACCTATAGGTCAGTTGTTTATTTCACAACTGAAATATAATCTTGTTTACTCAGAGGTATTGTTTCTATTTATCAATTTGTTTTGTAAATATTTCGTTTCTTTAAATCATGTTATGTTACGATTTCGTTTTTGGTAGGAATTACACCACTAAGTTTTGCCGTCCAAATATTCACATCATTTGAAGTTCCAGGTCAATGGAAATGACCAAACTTTCTCCTACAGCCTAGTACCAACGAAGAGTCACCCAGGGGAGTGGAGTTCTTAGGGGTTCGCCCCCCCCCTCCCCCCGACAAAGATGCATATTAAAAAATATAGATGTTCCTAATTGTTATACTAAAGCAACCCATTCAATATATATTAACGCCTCAATCAATATTACGCGATTCAATGAATGTTAACGTCTTAATCACAGTATCCGTAACATCACCGTAGCTTTCAGAGGTCATTTTTTGCATTATCACCAACTATTTCGGCGGCCAGTCACGTCAGGGGTGGCTAACCTGTTATGTCGCGCCAGATGTGGCGTATTGGATCGCTTGCACCTGTGTTCACAGTGTTACTTTTCTTGCGCTGTATAATTTGCATCATGACATAATTCCTGCACAATATTACAGCGCCAGATGCACGAAATGCTTCATTACAAACTACGTCATTCGCGGCAATTCTATAGTAGTAAATGTCGCACAGGAACACTTGAACGAACCTCGTCACCTCCTCGCCAGGTATATCATTGAGTGCAGTGAGACTTTTGATGTTTCCTTTGCCCTGTATCATCTCACAGGGATTTGGGAAAAGGGTAGGTTAAGAAGAAAAATAAAGGAAGTTACTCATCGTGGCTTCGAAAAAGACACTTGATGTACTTCGTGCAGCCTACACGTGCTGTATCTATTGTAAAGAATTATATCAGTGAAACATATTCGCCAGCGTTTCAGTGTGTCTTGAGGCCCTGTAAGCTTGACAGGGATCGAAGGAAGAAGGAAAAATGAGCTTATAAAACAGCGCGCAATTCGAAAGCCGAAAATAGAAGTCCTTGCTTCAAGCAAATTAGGAAATAATTAAAAACATTCAAGAAATAAAAAGAAAAGAAAATGAAGAAAGCTAGAAATTGCTGAGTTGCTGCTTCACCTTAATCTGGTGGAGTTGATTAAGCATTGCCATAAATGAATCCATCTAAATATCCTGATATCGCTTTCAGTTCTCCATGTTGCGCAGAGCTTTCTCCCCCTCAACATAACCAAGAACTGTTGTTCAGAATAATTTTCACCAAACAAGACACTCCGGCAATTGAAGCATCGTCATCAGGTTTCACTGCAGAGATCGCCTTCTCGTTTAAGATATCATCTCTCGCGACTGGACTGGAGACAGGTGCTCTATTAAGAGTCCTTTTTTGAACTGGTGCATTTTATAGTTGTTTGCAAAACAGTCACGAAAATGATATTGTAAATCTGATCCCAGTTTCGTGAGGTTAGTCTTTACGTAATCAAAGTAGATAAAATAGTTGTGTTGAGTGATCCCTTTTCGACCTATACACAAAGAAGATCCACCCTCCATTCTTATTTCCCATCCTTAATCCTGAAAGTAAGGAGGTGGTTAAGGTGTGTGGCGTATCTGCGAAAAAAATGGGTGCAAGAACTGTGAAATCCCTAAATTACGAAAATATACAAGAAGTTACCATTATGCTAGTTTTGTAATACAAAATACCCCAAAATATTTAGACTCCACATGAGGGTGTTTTTGAATAGTTCACGCAATCAAGCATGTCCCAGAATATCTCTACGGCACTTTTGAATAAAATTCATACAATAGGTTTAAATACTAAATGTTATGTTTTAAAGTACAGAAATGTTTAACACTGACAAATATTGTATTTCTACAGGGCCTGCAAGGGGGTTGGCTTCAAGGCTACAATTTTTCATGTCAAGATGTGGATTATTCGGACAACCCCATTGCCTTGAGAGTAAGTATGTCTTCAAAATCACTCTAAGCGTTTCTAAAACTTTTTCTATGATATTTATATACTTTATTTATAGTTTTAGAAAACGTACGGTGAGAGTTCTAAACAATTTTCTGTAGGTTTAATACATCCCTATGTAGCTAATTATACAAAGTATGTACTAAATCAAGGGAATCGAAAGATTGTAATGAATTTTATAATATTTTAAAAGTATGATTTGTTTGAAAAAAAAAGTTTACCTTTTATTTTTTAATTTAAAAATAGTTTTTTCATTGAACAGAAGTCAATAAAATTTTCAACCGAATTTTTATCTATAGAAATGATATAATAGTAGCTTGTTTTCGACTATTTAAACAATTCATAACAATAATTTCGGGGTGCATGTCCAGACCGACTGTGGATAACTAAACTTATTTGTGTGTTTTTCGTAATAGATGGCTCGTGCGGTTTGGCTGTACTACATTTGCAAGCTGACTGAATTGCTGGATACGGTGAGTATTGTTTCACGAATGTCAATGCATGTTAGTATTATAACCTGAACAACCACTTCTCCCATTCCTCACAAATTTCGAAAGTAGCCTTTGTTACCAGTAATATCAGAAGTCAACTCAATTGCTATTTGCGTTTGATCACGAAGGGAATGCGTGAGCGACGCTAAGAAAGTGCCAAAAAACATTGCACGTTTTGCAATGACTTGGTCACTTGACACGACATCACAATACATGCTACATATTATTTTTCGTTCTGAGATGCAGTCGAACCGATATAAATACCTTATAATAATACCTCATTTCTCTGCTGGTTGGTGAAAGGGGGGTAGCGAAATTTGCGTGGTCAGACGGAAGAGCGGGCCTGATGGCCCGAGTCTCGCCACGTAAAATTCACATTGTGTTCAATTCAATTCAATTCAATTCATATAAACGGATTTCCTGTATATTACGAAATAAGGCCGAAATTAATAAGTTTCAGGACGAAGGGAAAATAACTAATGTAAAGCAATAAAATCCTTTTCTGTGTTAAGGAAAATGAAATGTCTTCATAACCTTCGCACAATCAACACACATTTATACGAAATCCAGAACTTATTTTTAAGTTGGTAGGGATAAAAATACTTCGGGGGTGGGGTCGTGATCCCTTCCTGGGTAGAGCCTTGGGGTGTGAACGAAATGTCACGAGATTACAAATTTGGGGAAAAAATGGAAAAAGTTCCCCCCAACTTTTTTCCGGTGGCCCCCCCTTTCCCGGTGGGCCCCCCAAAAAACCCGGGCCCCCCCCCCCCCCCTAAAAACAAAAATTTCCCCCCGCAGCGTAGGCAGGAGGCGCGAGTGGGAGGTGGTGGGTGGGGGTGTGGGGGTGTGAGGGGGGCGCACTAGGAAGCAGAGAGCGAGCGGCGCGAACAGGTGCTGGACGCAGCACAACACGTCTTCCTCGACGTCGCAGTTACCGCAATCTTGTCATCACTGCCGTTATTATTACGTCATTGTTCCTTACTCAACGATCGCCAGCGGGCATTCGATTGCCTGGCAATTTCAAAATAACGGTCCTGTTACGGATCCCTAAATGAGCACAGAGTGCGCCAGGTCGACCAAAATCAGAAAGTGTCATTACCAAATCGAAGTATCAAGAAATCTCATAACGCGAGCGCTGACATTGTCTGAACTGTACTGAAAAGTAAAGGCCCATTCACAACGCAAACATAAGCATGGAGTTAACATAAAAGTTAGGACTACGTCCACAAGCGGACTCATTCACAAAGCGTTCGCATAAGCATAACACGTAAGACGTTAACTTAAAAGCTTGCATGCATGAAGCTTCTGTGCTTATGCTTAAGGAAGACATAAGAAATGAACCAATTACAGTACGTTAACTCAAAATCGAGAATCGAAAGAGGAGCGAAGTCTATAGACGAACTAACGTCATGTGGGCCATGGATACAGTCGATTCCTCGAAATCGATTCTCACATCCAACCAATAGTAAACTAGAATGTCTCATAGCCAATAGAAACTCTTATTTTTCTTACGATTATGTTAGACATTGTGAATACTTCAGTCTATTATGTATGCTAATGTTTACGTTTGAATTATTTATGTTATGCATTATCACTGTTAATGTAACGTTGCGTTAATGTCTATGCATTATGCTTATGTTTATGTTTGCATCATCAATGGGCCTTAATGGTAACTGCTGGTCTAGACATATTTCACAATGTAGATCGCGCGTATTTTTGATCATAATCAAATTCAAAATTCGCCACTAATTAAGACTCCAAATGAACACAATATTTGGACAAACCGCTTTTACTAATTTGAAAAACTATCATTTATATTTAATATATTTGTGCCTTTAATACAAAGAGTTATAGGGGTTACTAAGGGTTACAAATAGAAGCAAATGTGTCATTATGATCATTCTTTTATGAACTTCAACTTCTTTGTGAATACATGATGTCCATTTCCTAAAGTGACACATTTGTCAGTTTCTTTATGAGAATGAGCCAGCTATATCACTGCTAGTCAAATCAAAATAAATATCATAGAATGCTCACAAAGGAAGTGGCTATCATATAAAGTACTCGTATATTCAATTTAGGTAAAATATAAATGAAATTATTTATAATTATAATTTTGTAAAAATCAATATGAACATTCAAGAACCTTTTTATACTATCGAACAGTAGAACATTTTATTCAAAAATCAAGAATGTCACAGGACTCAAAAGTGTTTGTAGCATCTCGTTTTGAGTGGTGCTCCATTACACCGTGTGCAGCGCAACACCCATCTCGATCAGGTTTTCCTCTAGTTTCCCTGATCCATTGAACAAATGCTGGGATGGCCGCTTGTTTTGTTTCTCAACATTAATGAAGCTTCACTATGCATACTTTTTGTTGAACTATTATTGAGTTGAACATGTGTTACTTGTGGAAGGAGTGAATTACTATTTTAATAGCAGTACTACATCGAATCTGTAGTTTGTTTACCGATGCAAATAAGTTGGGAGCGAAACTGTCAACTTTTCAAGAGTTGCTAACCTTGTTTGTATGGTAGTGTCTTTCATCATTCAACTATTTATGATTAAAGGGTGGAAACAGGTTTTGAAGCTCAAGAAAAACTGCGCAATTTTTACTTCTTTCTTACGCGTTATATACAGTTTTTACTGTTCTTGACGAAAATAAAATAGAAAATTAAACTGATGGTGTTCCATGGTTGCAGGTGGCGATGGTGCTGAGAAAGAAGACCCGTCAAGTATCTCCACTTCACCTCTGGCATCATACTTTAATGCCCATTACTTCGTACATCGGGGTGCGCTTTCTTCCAGGTGGGTTTTTTTTAACCAGCTTCGTATTTTTTTCTTCTTCTTCCCTAGGGCTTCCAGTCGGTTACCCTTCCCTTTCCGATGTTCGACCATACACTAGGCACCAACTCACTTGCGAGCTCCTCTGATCTACAGGAGAGTCACGAGCAGAACACGAGGCCCTCCCCGACAACACAAACACGAGACTCTAGGGACAAACTACCATGTCTAAGGCGGGACTCGAACCCGCGAATCTTCGGGCAGAAGTGCTGAGTCGGTACATGCTCAGCCATCCAGGTCAGCACAAGCTGCGCGTGTTTTTCCCGATGTGATTCGATTAGAGGTGGTAATACGTCGAGTGGCGAGGCGTATTGTACTTGCGAAGCCATCACAAGATTTCTGGAATGTCAGGGTCTGTCCTTTACAGCGTCGAGAAGTTAGCAGTTTACAATACTTTCCACAGGATGTTATGTTTCTTAAATAATCCAAGTTATGCCAATATTTTATGAAAATACTAATATTTCATACACTTCCTTCTCGTTTTTTCAATAAATTATAACTACTAGGATAATAGTATAACTAGTGGGATCTTGAACCAATTGTTCTAGTTTTTAGGTTCGCCTTCCTGTCAAGAAGTAAGACCTTTAATATTAAACTACTGGGTTGTAGAAGAGAAGGGGTTGAGGACGGATTGTATAAAGAGACAAATAATGAGAGCGATTCACAATTCTTCTCCATTAAAAACAATTGATCATACTCATTTCACTATTTCACTATTCACTATTTCACTATTTCACTCCTTTCGATGGCATTTCCGAATTAAGAATCTATAGTTAATGGTAATACTGAATAGAATCTCGAATACATTAATTTATTTTCTATACGCTTGACCGAGTTCTGAAAATACACAAAGTCTGGTGTTTCACGGAATTTCTTTAGAATATTTGTTCTCGCCATAAAAGAATATATCAGATCCTTCCTCAAGGAATGTCCTAAAAACTACACGGTAAGCACTTACGACACAAAAACTCTTGCAAAAAGTGGCAAAATGTCACTACACCAATCATAAGTAATGCTGTGTGAACTCGGTAGGCCAATTTTCGACCAGTGAACGCCACTCGACATCAGAACGTGTCATTTTCTCTATCTGTACGGCGCTCTGTACTTCGATTTTTCCATAGTGGCCAGCAACATCAGGTCATTGTTACACATCCTGCCTTACAAAATGAATATTTATAACAGTATTAACCAAATTGATGAGGCCACGAGCCTCGTCGAAATGGACGTTCGCGAATTAATTAAAAACATATTCATTTTATAAGGCAGGAGGTGTCACAAAGACATCGGTGTAACAAAGTCATCGGTCACTATAGAAAAATCATAATATAACTGCGAGGCGTGGCAGGGCCAGAACGAGCATAGACACTCGAAGATTCGCAAGTCGACGCGCTGACTCACTGAGCCTTAACGCCGAGCGGCTGAATAGAATCCGCAGCAGAGGTCGAGTCACGGAGAGTGGCTCACCACACGAAGCGCTAGTATTCGTGATCTCTCGCATTATGGATGTTTCTCTGCTGTTGATTTTTCGCCTAATTTTATTGCAATAAGTGTACATCTGTATTATTAATTTCGAATTCAAAATAAAATTACAGAAAATTAAGAAGCCTACAACCGCGTGAGAGTTGTTAATGGTCTCATTAGATACCCAAAAACCGAGGAAAATTAAAAATTTCAACGACAACGAAATAGTTTCTGTAAAATATTAAAAATGATTTTTTATTGTTTTTTTTACGTCATCGCAGATTTTATCGATTAGTGGATGCCTTGCCTTTGAATCAGAACTAAAATACAGAAAAAAAGCGTTCTACAATATTACACAACCAATATTGGTATTCACATTGTATCCAAGTCCATATGACTTAATTACACATTACGTACGTCAAAGATCTCCTACGCATTCAATAGTGAAATTTGATCCATTTCGACAGTCAAGTGTATACTACTCTATGTGTATGGGCAATCAATATGAGTATACACATTGTATCCAAATCCATATGACTTAATTACACATTACGTACGTCAATGATTATGTGTTCAATAGTGACATTTGATCCGTCATTTCGACAGTCAAGGGTATACTACTGTGTGTGCGTGCGTGTGAGTGTGCGTGTGTGTGTGCATATTCATAGAACTCCACCACCATTTCAATTTTATAAAGCTATATTTATTTACTTTTAACCTAAGATAACTACTAGGATAGGTGCAGGGCATACTGGTAGGATATGATAGGACCTACTGGCACAGATAGTGTAGGTGATTTCCTAGACCATCTGTGCCATTTAACTTGATTAGTTCAGGAATTTTAATTATTGACAGTCAATGTTTTATATTTTGGATATGTATATTAATACAAAAACAAGGTATTCAGATTAACTAAATATTATCTACTACGCCTACATTTCATTCTGTAAATTTATTTAATTTCGAGAAAGTTGTTAATGAAGGCAAGGTTGATTTTTGTTTAATTCCAAAAGTTGTTGGTACGAATGGTGTCCAATGTCATTGAGATAATTAGATTTGACGTTTAAAAGTACACAGCTGGCTATGTAGACATAAGAAAGGTCAATTGTATTTATAAAGTGTTTTTGAGAAGTTAAGGGGTAATTCACAATAAAATTATTATATCTTTACATAACCGTTACAAACTGTGTTCTATTTTATTTATTTTTTATTTATATTTTTCTATTTATAATTATTACTTATTATTGATACTATTTATTATAATTATTATATTTTAAATTATTCTTTAAGAGTTCTCTTGGACAATAGCTACGACGTAAACCATAAATTAAATAAGACATTTTTATTTTTGCAGGTGGTCACGGAACCCTCCTTGGGGTCATCAATAGCTTTGTTCACGTCATCATGTACTCGTACTACCTGTTGAGTGGTTTGGGGCCTGAATATCAGAAGTATCTGTGGTGGAAGAAATATTTGACTCTTCTGCAACTGGTGAGTATCTCAACGAAAACGTCTTGGAATGCGGCTTAAGGTGCAATGAACGACTACATATAACGCAAATGCAGAGATCTTCGTTCCCAAACTAAACGATTATTCAATGATACACACGAATGTCCAGGTTAAATGCTAGGTTATTATTCAATGACAGACGATCAGCGTGATTACTCAAATCTCCTGATGACCAGAAGAGTTAGCCCGAGGACAGTAGATTTTTCGCTCGCCGATCATGTCTCTTCCCACTCCGTCAGTGGTACTCCAGTACTAGCTCCTCCTTCACTCAGCCCTTTCTGCTGGTAGGGGCGCGGCGGTCCTGTCCAAAAGAAACTCGAGGAGACGGGGCGCATCACAGCGAGTGGGGCTGCTTAGAGTTCTCCACTCGAACCGACGTAGAGTGAGCACGAGATACCTGTGCACTCGACGACTATTAAAGCGAGACCGAGACACACGAGAAGCGAGACACTGCACATGCCCAGTAGAGACATTTATGAATACAATTGCTGTTCCAAAAAAATAGGGTAACCTAATACAAGCTAGGAATCGTAATCATTCAGAAATTTGTTTCGGATGAGTGAGTAATTTGTTTGACGAAAAGCTAGAAAGTCGATTTTGAGACGGCATCCAGTGCAGTCGTCTCCGCCTGTGACGGGAGCCGCTTGCACAGAACACGAACGTCTACACGTTTCGTTTTTACGAACGATTCTGAAGTTTTCGCGAACGCAATGCTCGCATGTCCGATGTACCATACTGCACACGCTCGCGATCTGAAGGTAATGTTTCTGACAGACGCTCTCAAGTTCGCTGGCAGGGGGAGGGCGCGCCACCTTATGAGCGATGGCGGTTTGGCCAGTTGATGTGGTTTAGGGCATCTATAAAGTCATTGCAGTGCCTCTGGCCGGAAGGTCCTAGTTTCGAGTTTTGACAGTGGCAGGATTTTCGATACTAGCTTGTCAGATAGTTCAATTGCATTCGCTGTTTGGAGAAAAAATTCTAGCGGCCCGCGGCCCTCTGCTGTAATCGGTAGTTTTCCGTGATTTCTGCGATCAACACCAGGCGAACGCCGGAGCAGTACCCTAACAAATGGTTCACGGACCGCGCGCGATATTTCTTTTCCTTTTCCTTTCTTCACGCCCTACTCACACACTCATATCACTTTATTACCACACATGCCGAAGTCTAGTCGGGAGTTTAGAATTTGTGCCGGCTGTGACCGTGCCCCGCTGGTGGGAGATACCTTGTTGGCGAAAACCTCGCAAGTCGACGTGTAGGACGGCGCCGGATTTCAACATCCAGTGAGCAAAGATCTCCGCCTCTTTCCGCGGCAAAACACACTCTTTACTTACGGGAGTAATGACCTTAGTAGACCCGCCAGTAAATACCAATCAAGCATGGCGGCCGGTGCCGTGTCTTTGCGTCTGGCTTAGTTTGCAATGTTTCCGGCGGCGCCACTTGTACTATCTATCTCCTCCCAAACTGAAAACTGGGCTCGGTCGCTGCCTTCCACCTCGAGCTTCTGCTACGCAACCCCTGGTACTGCGAGATGCCGGTCATCGTACATCTCCGGGTCCAAAAGAAACACAAAAACCCGTCCAGATTAGGAAGGGGGAGCACTGAAACCCAGCATCTACACAGTCAGGATCGTCTCGTTAAAATGACGACAGGTACACGAATGAGAAACGGAGAAATCGCACTTGCCAGCTAGCTATCGTCGAGCTGGAGGCTAACAAGGAGCCGCTCGAGAAGCAGACCGTGAGGCCACGTAACTTTTGCTTACTCACAAGAGTACACAAGCACCAATGCCAATAGCACAGCAAGGTCCTGGCGAAACATCAAATCCAAGGCCCTCCGACGCACATAACGTTGCAATTATACGTCGGCTTTGTTGCAAACCTGCTAAGTTGCTGAAATTTAACGCACACAACAGTAGCGTGAATGCTACTTCTCACTTCTGCGAGCTTTTCTCATGTAGTTAGATTTGGGTTTGGTTTCTGTTTTTATAGTAATAACTCAAAGCAATTATTCACCTCCACACTCGTGTATACATTTAAAATTTGAAAAGATATACACACCATTTGTTGACGCAAAAAGAGAAGTGACTCATCTAAAAAATTGTTATTTTTATTTAAATGAAGATATACGTGTAGAAAGGACTATATTTTTACTAGTAAACATTTTCAATTTTATGACAGAATAAAGAATTCAAACTTGAATAAAGTAGGCACGTTACCACCAGTTATTACATTTGTTAAATTAATTGTTTTTATTTCCAAAATGTAAATTTGAGACGTGTACTGAAGTAGTTTGTTGATCCTGAATGTAAATGTAATATAATAATAATCTCTGTACGTTTATATATTTTTACTTGTCAAAACATTAGACGCAATTATGATAAAGCGTCAACTCATTCCAAATAATATCAGCATTAATGTAGTAAATTAAGATGAATTAATTACATGAAATATTAATTTGGTTTTCCAATGCTTCTTTCTGAGTTCTTTAAATATCTGGCCTTGAAAAAAAAACCCATTGTCTTATGTGTGTAAAAGAAGTAAATATTAAAGGGAATCGAATTTTTCTGCAGGTGCAGTTCGCCATCCTCAGCACCCATTCCGCCTACGGCCTCTTCTTCGGCACCTGCTCTTACCCGAAGTTCATCCTCACGCTGCTGGTGGTGAACCAGTTCAACTTCATCATCCAATTCGGCCGCTTCTACATCCGGACGTACCAGAGCGAGAAGAAGCAGAAGCAGCAGAAGGCGGCATAGCGTGGTCCGTGGTCGCGGCTGCCTCACGCCGTCTCATGAACTGTTTTCGCCTGTTAACTGGAGAGCACATACGACGCGGGGAGTGCTCGCCTTCTACCACTCGGCGACGAAGGACATCTCTCGTCGCGACCTCGTGTGTGCCGGAAGTTTAGACGCGCTTGTGTGTGTGTTTGTATGTGTGTGTGTGAGTGTGGACTGCGGAGGGTGTCCACGCGTGCCAGAAGGCACACCGTGTCAGCCCCGCTGCGACCGGGGTGTGGCTCCAGGCGACTTCTGCACCCCTAATCAAAGACTGTCGAAGAATGTCAGTGTCTCCTTTTGATACGTCTTCGTTTCCGGAACGCGGAGGCAGATAAAGCTGAAGTACAGAATCAGGTGGAAACTGTTAACGATGATTGGAAAGAAAAAAATGATTGCCTCCCTCTGATAAATGATTCTCGATCCGACCAAGAAAGGGAATCTTTAAATCAATTTGAGTTCAGAAAATAATTTTCGTAATACCGTACCGAAGAATGAGAGGTTAGCCTTAACGTCCGGCGACTGCTAAGAATTTAACAGTCCGCCGTTTGTTAAGCACAACTGAAACACGTGATTTGTATAGTGCATACGAGATAGCTTATTCCAAGACATAGTACTTCCTGATTACGTCATTTATCTTACAAGGAGATGATATCACAAAAAGTATTGAACGGCACATGCCCAATAACAAATAACAGGCCCGTTTGGTTAAGTTCAACCACGTCTGTTAGTTGCTACTTATCAGCCTAATGTCGAGATCAGTTTTCCAGCTGAGTCTTCGTGCTCCCAAACACAACCCAATAACATCTTCACGCCGCTCTCCCTCTCTCTAGGACAGTATCCCAGAGAGCTATTTCTCGATCACGTGACAGGTAGACGTCTGATTCTGTGCTTCACATTTCCCCCCAGCTTCACGACCCGCCTCCGCGCTCTATCTACCTCTTCCACCCGCTTTTTCCAAAGTACAACAGCAGCAACAGCGGTCGCCTCGGTGCCACGAGGCAGGACGAAGGCTGCAGTGACTTGCGAGTCGTCCGCAGTAGGCCAGTAGTACCTTTACGAGAGACCTTGAACCAGACACCGCGCGTTTGCGCGCCGCCTCGCTTCCGTCCGTTGGGCCTGGCCGGGCCCGCCGAGCTCGGCTGCCCCGAGGCAACGAGGAACCGGCTGCGAAATTTCCGCGCATCAAAATGACAAACAACCAGGACGCCAACGAAAGCCTGTAACGCAAGCAGGGCCGGATTTAGGTCTAGAGAGATTACTATAAGAAGGAACCGCTTTGACAGCTACTGCTGGGCCAATTTTGGCAACATAACTGCAGTCGATGCCCTCATTTTGTCAGTGCGTTCGTTTACAGTCAACTCATTTGTAAAAGGGCATGCATTGATATCGCCCTGATATCGCATTGCATGTTGATATGCATTGATATCGTTCATTTGTTTCCGACCTGTCAAACTGGTTCCTTCTTAAAATAACTTCTCTATACCGGAGAGCCACCAAGTTCAAAATCGTGTTTGGACACCCATCTGCAAGAGAAATACCCCGGAATTAGAAAAAAAAATATCATTTTTATTTTTCAACCATAATTTTTTTGTACAATAGACGACGGGATTAACAATTATTTTAAGGGTACAAATATTTTATATGACTTTTTTTCGAATATTTCATTAATTTTTTTCCGCGACGTGGAACCTCCAATCGACGAGGGTCTTCAAGCAACTGCTCAATTTCTTGCAGATAAATCCGACCCTGGACACAGAAGTATTTTCCTCAAAGATCTCACGCTCCTCTTCAAGGACTGACAAGGGCACCGCCCTGTTGAGGAAAACGACGGTCACTTGCCTCTGAATGAATTGCAAAGTTATCTATTAAAAATTGAATCATGTACTGCTAAAACATCATAAATTGCAAATTTGCACATTAGAAGTGTATTTCTATATATTAGAGAGTTTTCCCAGACTAGAGCTTAAAATTTTACGAGCACTCACTAGAGTTCCGAAATGTAAAAATATTTTTTGGGCAACGTCTCGTTCTAAATGGAAGGAGTGTCAAACTCGGAAGGCAGTATGCGCTGCTAACGCTAAATTCCCATTATGTCATAATTTAGTGATTCAAATTTGTTCGACTAGTGCTCTGAACTGTATATAAATAATAATACTTTTTATTATATAATAATTACAATAATTATATTTTCAGATAAATACATGTACAGATCAGAGCCACCAACATAATGCCGCAACATGACAATATAAAGAAAGACACTACGAGCACACAATGCCGCCACAGTCGGGAAAGTACATTTATCCATATTCGTGTTGAATTTCCATTTATCTTATCACGTGACTTGTATCGTACGATACTTGTTTCGTGATTACACTCGCACAGTAGCAATTTCCGCTTTAACTCTGCCCTCCGATTTAAATATAGTGGCTCCTGACGTTCATTCACGTGCACACGGTTATCCAATCAGAAGTTTTGTTATGACTTGATTTTTGGTGTTGAAGCTGCCGATTGGATAATTGCGTCCGAGCTGAGGGAACGTTAGAATTCACTACAATTAAATCAGAGAATAACATAACTTTTCCGCGAATGCAGAGGCTTAAAAGTGGGTTCGTAGGGTACTGTACGAAATACTAGTGATTCAGTAAAAACTCTCTAATATATGTACCTTGTCAACTTTTCGAACAGTAACATTGTGCAAGACTGTCGTACCATACTTTATAAGGACATCAAAACGGCGATGAAGGTATCAAACGTCAGAACGTCATGCTGTTTTATCACTACATAAGCTGCACATTCTTTAATTAAAATTGTTTGGGAATTAACCGATTCAATTGATGGAAGCAAACGCAAATAATTAGTGATTACTTTACCTTGTTGGTGGAGAAAATACAGAATGGAATGATTAAAATATTTCCGTCATTTTGCGTTGAACAAGGGTTCAAGTTTCAGCTTCCTGAAGCACATTTTTTTCATTTCACAAAAGAAACTGATCGTGTATATCCAGATTTGATTAGCTGAAGTTTTAAATCATAGCTCCCAATCAACCTTTAAATTATGATATCTGAAAACATAATGAGAAGTAAAATAAGTACTTGTGAATTTACATAACTAGTTTATATTATCTTACAGTTTTCTATTTATTTAAAATCATATTTATTTTCATCAATCCAATAGGAAAGTGTGCTATATCAAAATTGAATTCTTCCTTATTTTACAAGAGAATGAGTAACTAATCTAAGATTGACAGATCTGTGAGAACTCATTGAATACTCAATGTGAACCAGAGACAGTGTGGCCAACTTCAACAATATTGTATTTTTTATTGTAGCATATTAAATTATCACCAATTGTTATTTATGGCTTGCTAATAGTACAGACGTTTCACTAAGGAACATGAGTTAATTATTTCTCAGCAGCCAAATTTTCTCCGTTCTACAAAGAGAAAAGGTATTTCCCTTTTATTTAGAGATGCTCCTATTTTTAGCATTGTGTGCGCGCGACGCAGTTTTTTTATGGAAAGGGATCATATTTATGTTATGTAAATATATTGTTTTATTCAAAATTTGTGTTTTATGTTCACCTACTTTCTCCTTACCAACTCTTTATTGACTTTAATTGTGTAACATGGAGAATCCTTACGATCGTAAATATAATGATGACTCATGGGGGTTGGTCTGCCAAGAGAGTTAGATCGCTTAGATGTTTGCCAATGTTTAGGAAAATATATTTACATCATCAGAACTATAATGTACAAGATCAAAAAAGAACAATTACAATTTGTTGATTAACCACTTAATACTACTCTTAATATTACTGTGAAAACCTCTCTAACTCGGTACCCAATTGTGCAACAATGTAACCTCTTTGACTGTAGAAAACACACAATCAGCAAACGTTTTAATAAAGAAGACAATTCAAAATTTTCAGACGAAAGTAAATAATGAAAAAAAAAAACTTTTTTAGTCTGTTTGGAAATGGATATCATTTTGTGGAAAGAATATGACATACATTTTTCAAATGTTTCGAAAACATATAATTCTTAAGAATCAATGCTTTAATGAACTCCAGTGCTCCAGAATAGCACAGACTTTCCCGTATGAAATTTCTATTTCCTTTGGTCGCGGCTAGCTATTCGGACTTGCCACATACTCGTCAGCTGCCCGCCCAAAGTACATTTTTGAAATTTTCTTTATTTGTCGGTTTCATAATAGTAGAACGGAAATATTACTTTAAGAATACTAAAAAAACAGTAAAACCTCATTCTAAAAGGCAATTTTCTTTGAAACATTTGGAGTTGTTTTTAAGAAAATGGTGTTTAAGCATAACTGTAAATGCGAAATTTAAACCTTTTTCAAAGAAAACTATTAAGTTTCCAAAAAACTTATTTAAAGTCATTTAAAGCACTTCACGTTACATATGCAAAAACGTTGACAAATCGCTGGAAATGTGCATATTAAAGGCGTGAGAGATATTTAAAAAATAATTTGTGTAAATTAAAAAAAATAACAAAAGAATTCAGCAAAATTAATTCTATGTCATCCTAAACAGTGCAGTTAGCGGTTCGGGCACTGTAGGTTCTTGTGTCTCTGAAAATGAGGAATTTTGAACTACGTTTTGAAGAAAACCGTTGAGTTTTCGAGAGACTTTATCTGACAGTATTTAAAGTACATATACTCATAAATACATTTATAACAACAAATTGCCGTTAATGTAAATACTAAAGACGTGTGAGACACGTTAAACAAATTACATTTTTGTAATTTTTGAAAAAACAAAAGATAGAGCGATATGGCGTTTGTCATAGTATAAAGTGCATTTAGTATTATCCCTAACAAAAGTTTAAAGAAAAATTTGGTGCTTTTTTAAGGAAATCTAGTTTTTGTAATTTTTAAATTGCACATATTGCTAGCAATATTGATTCGAAATCTACTGAAATTTTCAAGATAATGAACACGCCGTAAAAAATTCGAACTTTTGCATTTTTCAAAAAAGTCAAAGTTAACCGTGAAAATCGGACATATGCCACCTTTATAAGTGCATTTTATTCTATCCTTACAAGAAATTTAAGGAAAAAATTTGGAAACTTTTTGAGAAAATTTTAAAAATGTCCGGAAGGTTTCATTTAAAGAACCCCCAAATTTTGAAGAAAGTTTTTCAAAATCGCGGCGGAGCCCGGCGCACAATGGAGCCCGATCCGTTGTGGAAAAAATCGTGCTTACAGATTAAGCGCTAGTGGTGTTCAGACAGACAGACGGACGGACAGACGGACGGACGTTTTGCCGTCAATTGGTATTTTGGTATACAAGAGCACACGAAGCAGGCATTCTAGTTACATCACGCGTTAGAGGATTTTGTTTCTTCATTCAGCAACTGCATTTATCCACTTTCTCTTTATCAGGGTTCGGCAATGAATATTTTTCTGCCGAAAATCACCCGTTTTTTCGCGCAGCATTACATACCTTTCTCTACACTACGCTACACTACAATGTTCTTTAATGTGCGGAAGAGTCGAAGTTGAAAAATCATTGTATTTCCCTGCAGCAAACGTATTTGAGTTATTAAACATTCCCTGCAGTATCCCAGTCTCAATGAGTCCAAATCCTCAAGTAGTATTTTTCCGAGAGAGCAAGAACGTACAGGCACCAAAGTTGATAATATTATGGACTCGATTGATAGAATGTTGGTCCCATTCGTGTGAACTGCTGTGTCCATTAGTCCCGTATGTGTAGTGAATGTTACTCCGCTGGAAGTCCCGGCCAACGTGATATTCAGCCTTGCATGTCAGCTGGCCGGGTTTTTCTGTTTAGTTATTTACGCAACCAGCCACACCTCAGCCGGGACACGTTCTTATCCCCAACTTGTCTCCCAACAATTATTGAAGTTTATTGCTTGCGTGTATGTGTGTATGTATGTCTGTAATGTAAGAGATTAGGGGAAAGGATGAGCAAGGTAATATCACACGCGGACCGTAGTCGTTTATGAAAGTACTCATTTTGCATTGGTCGGAGTAACCAAGTAAAAATAACAATGAGAGCAGTCAACCGCTAGAATTCGACTAGTATACAAAATCAGCCACCACCAGGACTCGAACACTAGACACGGCAGTGGCATCACTTACCTCCCTGCAATGGGTTTCTTACATATACGTCTTACCCTACTTCGCAACAACAACAACAACAATAACGACATTAATACTTTTACGACATAAGACAATAATTACATCTTTACTGTCAATGTGAAACTTTTCATGCTGTAAATCAAG